GGTGATGAACAGTAATTGGTAAGACGTGGAAGATTTAGTTAATACTTGCGTCTAAAGATACAGACACGTGGAGCTGTTATTGACTTGTATTACCAGTTTGTTGTTGTTGTTGTTGTTATCATCATCATCATCTTGAAATATGTCAGAGATGCTTATTTTGCCGTTTTTTTCGTTCTTCTGTTGTTATTATCATTATTATTATTATTATTATTATTATCATCATCATCAGCTGTTATTCTTCATGGTTTCGTCTTGTTTTTGTTGTTGTTCTGTTACTGATGTTAATATATCTAAATATCTCAAAACGTTTCTTTGTTGTTGTTGTTGGCTCCCTTGACTTTCTACGAATGTCTTTCCTTCGCCACCGTCGTTGCAGCCTCCTCCATCACCGCCACGTAACACCCGAGCATCACCACCGGCACTACATCACATCTCAACACTAGTATCACTGCCACATCTCAGCGTCACCACCAGCAGCATCATACATCTTAGTTTAATTAGTACACCATATCTCACCACTATACTTCAGCACCATATCCCAATTTCACCGTCACATCACATTAAAAATCATTACTACATCATCACCAAAAAACATAAACCTCATTACCACCACATCACCCTATTCCCAGCACCACGATCACCACCACACCACCACATCCTCACTACATTTCACCATTCGCTACACTGCTATCACCAACACCGTATATCTTGACGACTATCCACACCACATTTCACCACATTTCATCACACTATCATAACCAACACATCCCCCCAGCACATCCTCACCACAGTACATTCCTACCATCACGCCTTCACCACATTCCACCACAGTACATCCTCATCATCACAGCCTCACCACATTCTCACCACATTTCACCACACTACCGTCACCAACCCCGTCCATCCTCACCACCACGCCCTCACCACATTCACCACATTCACCACACTCACCACCAGCGCAATAAGGCATCCGAGAGCAGACCCCACAAGGTGCGCGTCCATAGAATTCGTAATGAACTATTAGCCACTTCGGCCACTGACGCACACGGTCCAGTTGTCAGGGGGTGAGGGGGGGGGGGGGCGAGAGGGGTGAAGGGGGGGGCAGGGGGGCGAAGGAGGTGTAAGGGAGGGAGCGAGGAAGGGAGCGTGGGGAGGAGGGCGAGGAAGAGGGGGGAGGTATGAGGAAGGGAGCGTGAGGTAGGGGTGAGGGAGGTAGCGTGCGGGGAAGGGAGGGGGGAGAGGTGGGAAGGGAGTGGAGGAGGTGGGAGAGGGAATAGGGAGAAGGGAAGGAGCGAAAGGAGATGGCGGTGGAGG